CCCCAAAACCCCAAAACCCCAAAACCCCAAAACCCCACAAATGTAACCAGGAATTGGAATAGATATTGATTAAATAGGAAGATTGTCAGTTCATATTATTTCTGCCTCTGACAGTCATGAATTGTATTGATCGAGGAAATAGGTGATACATTCCTCGACCTTTAGTTTGATATTCATGCTCAAGAAGGTTGAGTAGAGCTCCTTGTAGTTCTGGTAGACAAAGTACAGCAGACGAGAGCACATTGGATCTTTTAGGAACAAAGTCCTGCTTTGGTTTGTGTATCTGTTAAGAGCTTCAACGCCAATAGGATTTTCAGTCAGGATATCTTTATACTTTGCTTTATTCTTCTCTGAGAGATGGATCTGGTGGAAGAACTGGAAGAAGAAAATGAGATTATCATCTGCAAAAAGAGGGAATCCCAATTCTTCAGTTAAGATTTTAATGCAAGATAGCTTAGCTTCACAAGTTTGGTAGTCCATTCTGTGGAAGCGATGTTTGAAGAGAATTCTGAAGAATTCTCTTCAGTCTCTGAAAAGTTTCTTCCAGACAGCATCACTTCTGAGGCAAAAATGTTTGCTTACATTCTCTTTATCTCGCTTCTCGATGAGGTAGGATTGCCATTCTGGGATAATTATCTCTTCTATTAATTGGACAATAGAGGATGCCTTTGAGGTGACGCTAGTTCTCTTTCTGCCTCTTACTCATTGGTTCCCGACAGTTCGGAGGGTTTGTGAGTAAAACTCTTGACGGGTTTTGATTTCAAGGTCTCCATAAGGAGCAAACTGCAATGTCCTAGTCTTGAGGATGACCTCCTTTCCAATTTTGGCTTCTTCTGCTTGAAGATTTTCAGATTTTGGTAACTCGGTTTGCTCCTTATGGGTAGTAGAACCAGAGGAACTTGCAGATTTTATAACAGCGGCTACCCCCCAATTTGTGGTGGGGTCCTCAGTAAGTTTGAACTTATTTGAAGGAGCTTAACTCTACAGCTGATACCTCCTCCCTCATCCTCTTCCTCTTGGCACAAAAGGCTGAGTTCTTGGAGGGGAGAAGAGTCTTAGGGCCTTTGATGGCACAATCCAAGGCTATGGTATTTAAAGTCATCCCTGTGTATGTTCCTTTTTGAATCATGATTATTTAAATTGGTTACTATTTTGGCTAGGTTTATAATTTCATTTTGATACCAAATTTAAGGGGTTTTGGGGTTTTGGGGTTTTGGGGTTTTGGGG